CGGCGTGAGCTCTCAGGGCTCTGCTGGGGCCGGACACCAGGTCCCCGGGGAAAAGGGCAAGGAGCAGGCTGAGTTTGACAGGACGGTGCAGCTGCAGAGGGTGGTAGACCGAAGGTCGGTGATTTCGGATGAAAAGAAAGTGGCCCTTCTCTACCTAGACACTCAGGAGGAGGACAGTGAGGGACGCTGGTTTTGATGAATACTTTGTTCTCAGTGGTATCTTACAATCCGAGGCAACACACACACAGGCCTTTACTAATTGGAAGGAGGGAAGCTCACTCTTGATTAAGACGCCCCCTTTTTCTTTCTTCAAAGAGCGCTCCAGGCGATGTCGATTTACTCTATAATCTGTAAAGGTTTCAAGTTAATTCACGCCTTTAAAGGTGTTGGGATTTTATTTTTGAGTTGGAACTGAAGACAAATATGTTTTTTATCGTTTTAGTCTCCAAAGTTCCTTTTCCTGGAGTTTTCTCTCCACTGCTAGAGACAATTTCTATCAGTTTTGCTCCTGCTCACAGAAATGCCTCGCATCTGCCTAAAATTATAATTAACTATCCATAAGGTCAGATGCCTATATGGTAACAAGGTAAAAGTAATATATTTACGAGTCAATCTTACTTGCATGTGCTAATGTGAAATAAAAAACTAGCATTGAAAAGGAAAAATGTATACGCTTTTCTAAGCCTTCTCGAAAAGAAATCCTAGGAAAGAAGCAGATTGCTTCCATTAAAAAAAAAAAAAAAGCTCTAAATGATTTTTTCTTTAGGAAAAAGTTAAATTCACTTTAAGACCTGAATGAATTGCTTTCTATGTGCAGAGCTTTAAAAAAATATATATATAGTGTTTTATTTATGGAGAGAAGAGCCTCAGCCTATGGTGATATTTCAAGTCCCTAATACACTTGCTGTGTTTACACAGGTCCCAGAACCCTGCACCAGTCCTGCGTGTGCAGGGGAAATGATTCTTGGGACTAGCTTCGAGTATTTTCTTTTGCAGCACTAGGTGGTTAAGTAGCGCACGGTCTAAATACTCTTTCTTGTTACAACCCAAGTTCTGGAGTAGCCAGCTCCTATCAGAGTATTCTCGAGCTTCTCTGCACCCTAGCCCTCAGCATCTAAACGTTTAATTTTCCTGGTGGGAGGCAGACCCCGAAGACCATACAGAGAACGCTGATGCTCGGATGAGAACTTGCTTCCCAGATGGTCGTGCAGTTATCCCTGGAAGCACAGGGCGGACGGTGCCTCCCAAAGAAGCCCTTTCAACCCACCTCGAAAGGGGCCAAGGTCTTTCTGAGCTCAGAGACTTCGCGATGAAAAATCACCACCAATCTCAAGGAAGTTTTTGAGTTTTTAACAGAAATGATTACAGCTGGGGTGTTTTGGTCAGGGGAGTCAATACTAATGTTGAATAGAAGAAGATGTTTTAGGGGAAGAAGCTGGGCTCCCCTCTGGTTGCCCAGCATTGAAGCACCCAGGAGGGGCCCCCGGAAGGCAAAGGCCCTGCCCTCCTGGGCCACAGGATGCTGACCTTCACATCCATACGGTCGCGTTTAAGACACTAGAGCGAGGGTGCTTTATTGGGTTTGTTTTCTTTTACATAAGGGCATTGCTTTTAAGGCTTCCATCTTCAGAGGTAGGGCCTCATGCAAAAATAATATTTCTAGCAGCACAGTGTTATTTTAATCCAAGCTAGTTTCTTGCACATAAAGTTGAACCTGTATTTTCTCTAACACAGAATCTAGAGCTGCCGGTAGTGAGCTGAAGAATAACGATCCGAGGTGACATCAGCCTCAAGTGGGTTATGGTGATGGGGGTGGTGGTTATGGCACGAGGGGGGCGGGGTCACACAGTGGCTCTCCAGCCCCCAAGACCTCCATCCCCTCGGCCTCCAGAAATGGCCACAGCAGAGAGTTGAGGGAGAGTGCATTTTCTTAATAAGCCGAGGAAAAATGCAGCAAAGCTTTCAGGGTGATCTGTCTTATAAACACTGTGAATCCGGGTGTAGACAAAGTTGACTTCCAAGTTTAAACCATTGTTGTCGGCCAGATGAGCCAGTAACTGCCACAAACTGGTACAGAGGTGACGGCTTTGCAAAGACTTCTCTTTTCTGATACAGTCAAGGATGGGCTGATTTTCTGTTAGCCGTAGTGGGTGATGGTGTTTGTAGAAGTGATTTATTGGTCAAGGTGACAGCCTACCGGTTTGATGGCAAGACAGACTGAGGATGGGGAGTCTGTTCTGTGAGTCCAAGTGGGCTTAGTTTTATGTCCCTCTCCTGCCTTGTGATCTGGTAAATGAGTGCTGACAGATTACTAATATGACCCACCTCTATTTGGAAAATAAGTATCTGAGGTCTTAATTTATATTTCCATGTTAGAACACGGATCTTCAAGGAGTAGCCTGCCAAGGGTATTCACGGATATGGACTCCCAAGCTATCTTTGGTTGCTCAGTCTCTGGATCACCCAGGAGCAGGGCAGGCCCTCCACACTGTGCAGATCACCCCACAGCTCCGGGTCCTTTAAAACCAGTCGCTCTGGAGGCAATAGAAATCAACTTTGGGGGTGGGACAGAACCAGTATTTACCCTTGTGGAGACAAAACCATATTAACAGAATGCTTTGCACCCTCCCACTGGTGGTTTTGATATTGTGTGGTTTCAAGTGTATATTTAGGATGGAATCATCGAAAAAGCTGATCTTTCTAATAAGCTGTTCCCTACCGAGGGAAGTGTCACAAGAATGTATAAAAATAAAAATCTAAGAAAAAAAACCCACCTTGTTCCTGGAGAAAATGAATGTTTTCTAGTAGGTGTTTTTGTGCTTTCTATTTAAGCTCTAATTAAAACCTATATGTGTTTACATGCATGGTTTTTTTTTTTTTTTTCTTTAAATGGTGGCACAGAATCACTGGGGAGACTCTCTCAGAAGTTTCGGTTCCTTACCTGAATTAGAACTTGGTGGTGTTCACACAGAATTAGAAAGCATGGCGGACAGAGCAAAAACCAGCTGGCTTGTATTCAAACACAGACTGGACAGTTTGTGGTAAGAATGTGGTCGTCACAGCCTGGAAGGCTAGTGCTGTAGGGTGACCAGCCATCTCGTTGTTGCCTGGGATGGAGGTGTCTCCCGGGACACGGGACGTTCAGTGCTAAAACCAGGACAGCCCAAGGCACACCAACATGATGGTTCACTTAAGTGCAAATTGGAGGGGTTAGTAAATCATGTCTGTTTCTTGGTGCTTGAAAAACTTGGAGTTGTTGGAGACACAGAAGAGTTATTAGATACCCTTGCTTGGTGTGTAACTTTTTACCACAAAGACCATGAATATCTATGGTCTTCCTCTTGTGTTGAAGTTAACACATTTAATAGATGGGAGACATTTGGGCGGGACAGTCCTAAGTTCATTCTTTCCTGGGGTAGGGACGAAATTTTTTAAAATGCATTTTAGTTTCTGTGATTCCAAGACCTTCTCCTCCAAGAAATACAGAAAGGAAGAAGTCACATCAGAATTCACTTTTTCCCCCCCAAAAGCCCAGCATGGACTCCTGTCTGCTCAGGCTGCGGCAAGAGCAGAGCACGGACTGGGAGGCTCACACAAGGGACATTTCTTTCTCCCAGTTCTGGAGGCCGGAAGTCGAAGATCGAGGTGCTGGTGGTTTCGGTGCCTGGTTGGGGCTCTCTGGTTGCCCGACGGTCGTCTTGTGTCTTAACGTGGTGGAGAGCGATCGTGTCTCGTGTCTCTTTTGATCAGGGCATTAATCCCATTCACGGGGTCTACTCTCACGTATTCATCACCTCCCAGAGGCCCCACCCCTAGTATTTTCACACTGGGGACTAGGGCTTCATCATGAATTTTGGAGGTACACATTCAGTCCCTGGCAGACTCCAGTGTGGTGTATGCTTAAAATGCTTATTCCCCCATCCACTTTGAAACTCATATCTTCAACTAGATGGAACACTTGGTGAGTAGTGACCACGTCTCGTGCCTTCCTCCCACTACAGGCCTCCTGGGTGAGTGGGTACCAGTGGTGGTGGTCTGTGTGGGCAGCTCACAGCTTCCAAGGGGGACCAGGGACCCTGCCTGTCTCTCTAACCCTGTCATGAGCCTTTTTGGTTTATTTCCCCCATCAATTCTTGAGGTGGTATCCTGCCCAAATGGAACCAGAGTGGCTTTGGGTTTCCCACTGGGTGCTGGAGTGGAAGGGGGCCCGGGCTGCATCCTGCTGCCATCTTAGCCCAGCCTGCAGCCTCGTTGGACCGCGGTCCGTGGGATGAGGGTGGGAAGGAGAAGGAGCAGCGCCACCCACAGCCCATTCCCACCCACTGTGTACTCTGTCCACCTTTATCCAGCACCAGCTCTCATTGTTGACAGCGTGAACAAAGGTGCTCAAAACTTCCACTCTGCTTTTCCATTCTCGAGTGGCAATGGCCTCCCCCTGCAGGAGACTGAAGAGCACTGTGGGACATGAGCGCTCGTCCCACTCCCACCCTCCCCACCTCACATGCTGAACCCAGAGAAAGCTGGGAGAGCAGGGGGCCAAGGACTGGGCCAACTCAAAAAAAAAAAAAAAGAAGCTCCAGAGGGCAGCCATGTTTCTCCTGCCCGGAGTAGAGGCCACGGGAGTCAGCGGTCCTCCCCCGCAGCCTCTCCAGGCCGGCCTCACTCCTGCTCATCTCTCTTCACTCCCTTACCCCTGCCTCCCCTGACCGCTGGCCCATTTACCACCATTCACTACCTGCCTCGCTGTACTGGGCTCTTTCCCTCTGCTACCAACTAATTGCACCATTATGTTTAGCGTAGCGTCCATGTTGGGTGGCAAGCTCTGAGGGGGAAGGGGACGGTGTGTCTTGTTTACTGTTGTGTCCCCAGCTCTCACTGGGTGTTCAGCCACTTTTAGTGAATGACTGCATGAGTGAAGAGAAGCTTCTTCGTGCCCCTCTCTAGGCTCCAAGCAGCTCTGAGGCAAGCTTCATTTTAAAAACACATACCAACCCCAGTACTCCCAAGTTTCCTCTCATTAGCATTTTATTCTCAATCCCTGTTATCTTCCTATAAGAAAGGGCTTTTTCCAGAATTGTATTGCTCCAAATCTGACTCCAGATCTATGCCAGGGGCTCTCTCTGTCCAGATACTGTACACTGTATTCACACACAGGAAGTCGTAAACTTCTGAAGAGAAGCCTTGCAACCCCAGCGGTGCTGATGGGTACAAGTTTTTGTTGGCGAGAAAAACCACTTGGGCGGCAAAAAAGAAAAATTCTTTATAGAAGCACCAGATCACCCTGGAGGGTATCCACCGTCCAAACGTGGCCCACGGGAAGTCTGCAAACAGCAAACCCTGACCGGCTGTCGGATTCCATCTTCTTGTTGGAGAGGCTGATAGGGGACCCTCAGTGTCGGCGCCCAGGCGTGACTAAAGCTCTCTCTGGGGGGGCGGGGGGGCGGTGCTCAGTCCGCCGCGTTGGGCCGGGCCTTCCCCAGCACAGTGTGCGGGGCCACGCCGGTGTAGAAGGCTGGTTTGGCTTTCGGGGCCTGCCTAGACTTCACGGCCACCTCTGGGGTCCTGCCAAGGAGCAGAAGGTGGGGTGAGTGTGGTGCCCCTCAGACCTCCGCACGGTTCCCCCCCGGCCCAGCCCTTGCTGCGGTGAAGGGAAGCCTCACGACTGTGAGCTACAGGTCACGAAGGAGCCTGGGGAGGGAAGATAAATGAGAAGAGAGTCCTGGCACAGGATTTTTTTCTCCCGCTTTCTAATTCTTTGTGACCATTCTCGCTGAGTTGAGAGAATCAGCCCTTGGCTGGCTCAGTGAGCAGAACACAAGCAGAGAGGTTGGGGCTGGAGGCCTTGCCGGCTCAAGGCCGAAGGGGCCCCGGCTCAGGGGGTGGGCTCTGAGACAGTGCCCCCTGCTGGCTGTCTCCTCGCCTTCCAGGCTTCCATGATCTTTCCTTGGCAGTCTGCCCACAGGCTCTGTGAGGTGTAGCATCTCTACAGCGGAGCGTGCGCCTCTTCTCTGCTCACCGGCTGCGGAAGACCTGGGGTCGGCCTTCAAGGTGAAGTCGGAGGGCTCTCCGGCCCCCCCATCCTGACAGGCCAGCCGGCCAAGCTAGAGCACTGCGCCCTTGCCTTCCCGCAGGGGAGGTGACCTGCAGGCGCTGGTCTGTAGGAGGAAGAATCCCAGTGTGTTTCTGCCATTATTCAAGAGCTAATCTCGTCTTAGTATCTGGGCAAGGGAAGCTAGTTCACTGGTCCCGTATAGTTGATGAGTTACAGGAAGTCAGTAAAACTTCCCACGGAAAGTTCACAGAACCTTACAGAACCAGCTTCCTTCGAGATCGGAATGGCAAAGGAAACAGTGCAAGCGGAGGCCAACTCACTTGGACAGGACGTCCACCGTCTGCTGGGTGGCCAGAGTCCTCTTGTCCTGTAGTCCGTACAAGAGCGTCTGAATCTGAAGACACTGCAGAACACCAAGTAGCGATCATGAGGTTGTAACAATGTCACTGAGAGCGTTTCTCAGGAAAATCAAGTCTCCCTTGAATGAAATAAAGACCCATGCCTGACAGAACTGGTGCATGCTCAGGGTTTCTCAGGGACAGACCTTCAGGGACCTTCAATCTGGGTGCTCTGAGGGATCCAGGGAACACATGTAAAGTTTTAACACTATTTTACAGAACTCCCTATGACTAGCTGTATGCGAACTATGTTTACGTTCATTTTAGAAAATAAAGGTAAGAACACTGGTATCGACTGGGGATGGGCTCTAGTTTCCATTATTAAATGAGCCTTACAATAGCCCAGAAAAGTTTTTTAATGCCTTTGCTTTTTGTTGTTGTTGTTAAAAAAGGCTTTATATTATATAGGCTTTTTATATTCATTACTATACAGTAATTTCTTAGGAATTAATTTATTTAGGAGTTAACTGTTCAGTTTATGTCTTACCCAGGGCTAACTTTGGCTTGATTTCTCCCCTCTGCTTATTGGGCTGCCATTTATTTGGTTGCCTGTACCAGGCCAAGGCAAACTCAAGGAAAGGATAAAGATGAAAGTTGTGCCCCCAAATGGCCAAAACCCAACGATGGTTTTCATCCAGAGATAGACAAACAGATCAGTAGAACATGGCAGAGAGTCTAACACTTGACAGATGACAGAAGTGGCCCTGAAGGGTCTAGGGGGAAGAGCTGAACTAGTGAATAAATGGAACTTTTGGATGAAAATATTGAAGGTTTATCTTCATCACCTTGAGGTAGGGAAGTGTTTCTTACTTCCAGACAAACCAAAAGTAAAAGACTGATAAAATTTAACTGTATTAAAATTCAAAACATCTATGCACCAAAATTCACCTTAAGCAAAGTACAAAGAGGGAAAGTACAAAGTACAATGAGAGAAAATACTCGCACAATACTGAGAAGGGATTAGTATTAAGAACATAGAAAGAACTCCCATAAGGTAATGAGAAAAACAACTTACCAATAGAAAATAATCAAAAGACATAAAGAGATTATTCAAAGAATTTGAAAACTAAGTGGCTAATAAACACACCTAAGCTCACTAGTAATCAGAAATGCAAACTAAAACTTCAACAAGGTCATCCTTTCACCTATTCTACTGCAAAAATTATAGTCTGATCATAATACCAAGCTTTGTCAAAGGTATTAAGCAAGAAGAACACTTTTATATATTGATAGTGGATGTTGAAATCGGTACGACAACTTTTTAGAACAATTTGGCAATATTTAGTAATGGATAGGTAAATTGTGATATATATATATGTATTGTATATGTACAATATCATACAGATTTTTGATGTGCTTGTATATATCCACATAGATGAATCTTGTGATTATAGGCAGAAAAAAAGCAAATTGCAGATGAATGCATTATATACTATTATGTTATATATTATTATAATATATTTTATATATATCATTTGTACAAAGCTTAAGCATGTAAAACAAGGCCATAGTAAAATAATTAAGACAACATGGGAATGATATCAAATTCAGGACAGTAGTCATCTGGAGGTGGGGGTGGGAAAGGGAATAGTGGGGACTTCAACTGTATGGGTCATGTCTTGTTGCTTATATTGAATTGTGAGCTCAAAGGTGTTTGTTACATTCTTCATGCTTTTCTGCACATCTGAAATACTTTATATTTTTAAAATATCGAATTGGTTTTTCTACATGGTAACAGCTTGAGTCAAAAAAAGTGCGAGGGTTTGAGGACTTTGTACTGAAGACTGTTTATTCGTTCTGATCTGACAACCATTTTTAGGTCTTTGAGAAAATTAAAATGCAAGCAGCCAAAATGCTTTGTCTTTATAAGATGTGGAAAATATCAAAACTGTCTGAATGTTTGGTTCAATCTGAGGAACTGAGAATGTGGTTTTGGAATCTGAGAATGGGGCTGTCTTCTGGAGGAAAGAAATATTATTAGACGAAGATATGACACGGTTCTTTTTTAAAATAACAGATCTTCACTCTGTTGGTTGAATTATGTAACACCAGGAAGTAGTACCCTGGTTCTGTTATTCCATTTAGCATATGATTCAAATTCTCCAAAATCCCACCCCCTTCATCCAACAAGCCCCAGCCCTTCTGGGGCCGTGGCCAGGCCTGGCCTAGGCAACGTGCTGCTCATTCCACGGGGTTGAGCCAGCACTGATTTAATCCACAGATAAACTGTGAACTTGGCAAATTCAGGAACCTGAGAAAGTTCTGTACTGCTTTTGGGGACGGGTTTCCAGCCCTCCTCTTCTGCGTGGCTCCCCGCTGTTGGAAGCCTGGGGGTGTCTCCATGCAGGGCCCAGCAGAGAAGGTGCTCAGGAAGGGACTGCAAGCAGGAAGCAAGCAGGCTTTCCCATCACTCCTGCTTGGCAGTGAGAGGCCCCTGTCCAGGGCTAACATTCTTGCCAGAATAGGCTTCATTTTCTCCTACATGGCCAGAAATACCTTAACTTAGTGTAAAAGATCAGGTCTAATTTTAAACCCACCTGACTCCTCTGTTTACATACTTATGAGTGCTTCTGATGCAGCTCATTTTGAAATGAGCTGATGTCAACATGCTTTGGTGCTAACTTGTTCATCGTGACATTAGAGTTTTACTGACATTATAGCGATTATTTGAGACGGTCTGAGGGTCTCAGTTTACCCTGCCTTAACAGATGGCCTCCAAAATCCAAAAGTCAGGAGGAATTTCCGTCCTACCCCTTTGGTCACCAAAGTTTCTCTCTGGCCCCTCATTCCCTAGGGAAAGACACACTAGTAGCTAAATATTCACAGATTCCTGGGAACAATGACATGGCAATTGACAGAGCTTATACAAATTCTCACTGGTTTTACTAACTACCCCCATTCCAGACCTTGTGTGCTGATCCTTTTCCCCGGGGAAAATGTTTGTAGAGAGAGCGGAGGTGGGAGAGAGGGTCATGATCAATACTCAAGCCCAAGAGAGGTGAGCCCCTCCATCCCCATCCCTACTCCCTAGACCCCGGTAGTCAAGACTCTTTTCTTCCTGGCATTAATAGATTTTTGCAAAGGCTACTTATCCTCATTAAGAAGATTTGCCCCAAATTCTAGCTGAAGTGAGAAGAGATGTAAAGGGATGCCAGCTAAGAGAGGGAAACAGGTCCTCAGCCCCTGCCTAATCTCCTTTATGATGACAGAGCCCAGGGACGCTGTACCTGGCACCACAACAAGAAAGAATCATTCACCCATTAGCTGGAATAGTCTTCAAGAGCTACCTTTTTAAAAGAGTGAAATAACCCCTCACTGATCCTTAGTAGAAAATGTTTACATAGCCGCGTATTTATCTAAGAAACGTAAATTGAATTTCTCAACGTTCTGCTCCTCTTAGCTAAATCTGTTTAAGCATTTTTGCGTGAAATAGGTATTTCGATTCTTCTGTTAAAAATATAGACATTGACAGAGACAGAGTCAATAAATTGTTAATTGAACCTCCTGGGAGCCAGGCATTGTAAACACCTCTCGGAACTAAGTAAAGGACTCCCAAACACTGGCAATAGAACATCCGACACCACAAATAAAAGCTGTTTGGTGTCCTCCAGATTCTTCCAAGGCCAACGCACTCCGATCTGAAATCAGTCCCTACATGGGTGTTTCTCATTTTTCTTTAAGTCAACAAAAAACCCTGAAGTTTCCAGGATCCAGGTGAATCTGGGGGAGCCGTGACATTGCTCTTTTTCTCTTTGATTTTATCTGCAGGGCTTGGGAGAAGTCATTTGTGTTTCTTTTATTCCTTAAACATCAAACAAGAAGCTTTTGTCCCACTGCAGAAAGACAAAAGGGGGCGCTGGCTTCTACACTAGCCTGCAAGCTGTCCCCAGAGGGACCACGTTTGTGTTGCTTGTCTTTGTGCCCCAGGGCCCTGCCCGGTCCCTGGCAGCTGAGTGTGTGCCATATTTGCTAGATGAATGAATAAGGACACAAGTGGACAAGGAGGTCATCTGAGGAAATTCGTATATGGAGCCTGAAGACATGGCTGGACCACGGGGCTCCAGGGATCCATCAGCTACCAAAACCTCCAGTAAGGGAGCTTCACCGTGGGTAGAGCATTACAAACTTCCGCCCTCCAAATCCAGGCAAGTTCAGTGGTTGCAAGAGTGCTGTTGGCTAGGTGCTCCTCCTCGTAGCAGTCCTTCATGGCTGCCGGGGTTGTTAAGACACAACCTGAAGCATCTAATGTGGAATTAAAAAAATTATTTTTGACATGACTGAGTTTGGAGAGCTAGGTTCCTAAGGGGCCCCGGAGACAAAGCAGCTGAGACAGGAGCCATCAGTTGGTGTCTTCCTAGCTCTGGTCTACCTCTGTGCCCCAGAGCTCACGCCTTCCCAGTGTGGTTGGAGGGGTGTCTCGGTGGGGGCTGCTCTGGCATGGAGGTTAGCTGACTCAGTCACTCTGGCTTTAGAAAACCACAACAGCTAAATACCCAAACTCACAAAGAAGCGTATCTTCTGGTTTGGGCAGGAATCCCTCACCTTCTGCAGTCAGGACTCAAGGCCATTCATTTATTTTCATAGCAGCGCCTCTGCAGAGCTGGACTGCGGGTGCCTCAGCCCTCCCTTCCGCCATCAACGTCCAGCCTTAAGTCCTAGAATTGCCGCATCCTTCCCATCAAGGAATGTCAGACAATGGAAGTGCTGAGGGGACACATCCTCCTTACTAATGGAAGAGCTGAAGAGCCAGCTGCAAGGCCGCGTGGCTCAATAATGGAAAATTGACAGACTTTGCCACGCCTGGTGAGGGTCCATGCCAAGCCTGTCATGCTATCACTTGTATTTTGTCTTTATATGAAATGAAGAACAAAGCCAGAGAAAGGTACATTTGTAAAGAAAGCCTCTAATGCTCAAGATCTGAAATCACTACTCCTTTGTACACGTTATCTGCTGCAACAGTATGCCCAGGGCAGAGAATCACCCAGAAACTCATGAACTGTGCCTC